AGGTGAAAGTCTTTATGACGACCAGATGTGTGTGTGCGAAATTTGGTGATTATTGGTCGCTATTTTGGTACATTAAACCACATTAAGCGTTTTCACATTAAGCGTTTTAGAATGTCCCTCTCAAAGGTACTATGAAACACCGGGAAAGTATTAGCTTACCTTATATATATATAGTAATTAGAACATTATTTCCGAAATGCGTACTATACATCATGTTTTCAGCACGCAAATTTTTACACAGTATTCACGATTCTTCCAACCTTATCAAGTAGACTCGTGACTCGCCCATGCCGTTAGTTGACCAATCACAGTGTGATTGTCAGAAGAGATGTATATTCAGTGAGTTTAATGATTAATTTATTAAGAAGCGGCGAGAGAGTGACTAAAAAAAAGGATGCTGAAAAAAAGTGAAGAATTTGATTAATAGAAGCAAAAATACAAAGAAAAGTGAAGAATTGAAATCAAACTCCTGGCCCCCCAGCAAAGCCACAGGCACACATGTTCTCCTGTGCGTTCCTCCCCTTCTAGGAGTGACCTAGGCGCTGTGGTGTTTAAATTTGCATGCACACATCCCTTGTGTCCCGGGCAGGCAGTAATAGCACTGTGTTCTTATATGTGCTGACTTTTTAAAGGTATGGCCACATGGTGTATAACACAAATATAAGATATGAGTGAGTAGGCAAAACAAGGCTCTTAGGCTACAGTCTATTTCGATAGCAATGCTAAAGGATACTTCCATTCAATGACCACTCATCCAACTCATGGTTGGTCTGAATGAGGATTCTGTCTCAGGAAGGACAGGGCATGAGGCTGGGGTGAGATACCAGCCCATCACTGAGTGGCTTTGCGCTCTAGTGGCAGTTGTCCAGCTGAGGAGGGCCTGCGCAGCATCAGCCATGATAACAAACAGGGGTGCATGCAGACTTTTGGCCCGGCAGGTTTTGCTTGTCTGAGGTACTCAGGTAAAGGCTGTGCCCTTCCCAAGCTTCCTGGTGGTCCATAGCGCTGAGCGTCTGTTGGCATCCTGAAGTCCAGCATCACAGTGGTTCAGTGGGTTGTGACATTATCGGCTGTCTCTGCGTGGCCCTCTCAGGGCACAGTGCCTCCAGAGGGGGCGATGGGCCGGTCGTCCATAAGGTCACCCTGCCCACCTTGCCACTGGCCCAGCCTGGCTCTCTCCCAGTCATGCCCCTCTCCTCTGTTCCCCTGATGCCCCCCACCCCCGTCCAAATAATTTTCTCTGAGGAAAATTAAATTAGAGAGAACTGTGGTTGGTGAATCCTCTCTCCTCTGCCCCTGCAGCTCGTAATCTCCCATTTTAAGCAAACGCTCTTGGACTATAATTATAAGTGGGCTTGTTTGGCCGTGTCGGACCGTGGAGGATGGTTTTAATTGCCTTTGAGGAAGCAATACTACCCCCCATCCCTTCCACCCTGGCCCATCCCTGCATCCATACTGCTCCCTCGTCCCTTCTCTATCCTGCACACGCGTGTGGTGGTGGCGGCGCCTTTCAAAGACACGCTTTGATTAGCAGGCAAATTAGGAAGTTTTATGGCTTTCTCCAGACCCAAAGACAAAAGTGCTAGTGTGATGGACAGGACAGCTCTGGGCCAATCGCGGCTTCTGCCTTCAAATCATCATTTTCAAAGCCGTGTGCATCATGCGGCAGTAGCAAGTCATTAGCAGATATGCCTGTCACTTACACTGTTTGTCCCATTGGGGTTCCTGTACTCATAATAGTGGGATGCTTCCTTTCTCTAGGAGAGTGGAAGCTGTACATGAAGTATGGAGCTGTACATGAAGTAAGGAGCAGCTTTTTAGCCTAACCAGTGCTGAAATTTCCAGGCAGCCTGGATCAGCAGTGTGAACAGCCATTACTAGTGGTCTACCAGGGTCATGTGATCCATGGCTTGGTTGGTCACCAAGGAAATATCAGCTTTCTGCTTTTAAGATTTTTTTTTATTATTATTTTGAATAAGAATCATATCAGTAAGTATAGACTTGTCTGGTGTTGTGACATTGACATGGCATTGATCCCATTGACCAGTGAGTTCCAACCAATGTTGGGTTACTTCCATTATCTTGCTTGATAAAAAGGTAGATTTGGACCATGTAGTCACAGGTGGTGTTTCTTTACATGTCCTTAAGAGCTACAGACCCCAGATGCTATTCAGTCTGCTCAGAACGGATTGTCTGCAGTTACATTAATGTACAGTATTGTACCCTGGTTGCTCACTTCCTATAGGAAACTGTGATGCATTTGGGGTACGGGGGTGCCATATGGCATGTTGCTATGGTAGCTCCTCACTCAGCACAAGCATGATTTGCTGAAGGACGGTGGCTCAGCGTCTCATGGGAGATGCCAGCCTGAGTCATGTCATCTCAGCATGGGTAACAGAAAAGTTCTGAAGCTGGGAGGGGGTCAGTCGGGAGGTGGGGGTGCATTCCCCTGTCATCTGGCCTGTAAGGGAAATGAAAATTCACGTTTGGTTTCATCCCTGCCGTGACGGACAGATAATTGCATTTGTCTGTGAAAAAATGTTGGTAATGAAAGTGTGCTGGAAGCTGTCATTGTGGAGCAGAGATGGTAGGGGGGGCAGTGGTAAGGTCTCTGGACGCACACATTGCTGTCTGCAGATGCTGACAGAAAAGGGTTCATCATACGCTGCCACCAGTGTCATACCATCACCTTCAGAGTCTTTCATATGCATAGTAAAACTCATCTGGAACTTGTGAATCAACCATATGTGGCCTTGTGGTGTCACCCTTCTCAGGTCATCAACCCCAATGCACCAGTGTCCCTCAGAACTTCAAAGGCCTACCCTACAATTCACAGGTGCTACAAGGATCCTTACTTTCGAGGAAGCACACTGACAGCTCAGCACTGGGGGATCCCACACTGAGCATCTAGGAGACCTCCAGGAAACATGAACATACTACAGCAATACTTGTCTATCTTTCTGAGTCAGTGTTCCATTTAACAAATTTAGAAGCTCTGGAGGAATGCCAGCAGTCACCTAGGACAGTTAGATGGATGCTGAGGGGTGAGCAAGGTTGGCCAAGAATAGCCATCTTCAGATATATTGGGAAACAGGTGTTCAAAAAAGCAGTCTCATAAGAACTGAAAATCAGTTTAATTAGCCAGAACAATCTGTTTTTATGCTATGTCTTTGTGTAATGGGAGTCCCTTCAGCTAAAACCTGAAAAAAGCAGCTTGATTATTGCACCTGTAAAAAAGGATTTAAGCAGTTAACTCATGAATACATAATAAACAGTGAGCAATAAAAGCTTCCATAGTAAAACTACAAAGAGTCAATCAATCAGGGGTCTTTAGAACAAGTATTTATTTTAAGGGTTTTATGCGTCCCATGGCTAATTTGATAATGGAAACCTGAGTCTCACGGCTGCTAATGAGAACCAAAACAGATTTCTGCAATGGTTCAGGGGTCTTCTCGCACACTTTATGATCACAAGCCCTGTACAGCCAGATATGCCTGCTCATCTGGCCAGGCTTCCAGCTATGCATCATGGAGTCTTACTTAAGCAAATTGTCAGGCCTCACATAAGTAAATGGCTCAGTGGGTAGTACCCCTGCCTTGATCCTCAAATCAGCATTGGTGTGTGATGAGTAGGGATGGGAATCAATAAATTATTGATTTCTTATCAATTAGATTCTTTATCAATTTCAGATCAGAGTAAAATAACTAAATATTAAATTATCACTGATTATAATTTTGTGGACAAGTAATTAGACCTTGGGTTTGAGTCTCTGCCTGGGTTACATGTGTGTGGAGTTTGCATGTTCTCCCCATGTCATAGTGGGGTTTCCTCTGGGTACTCTGGTTTCCCCCCACAGTCCAAAGACATGCTGAGGCTGATTGGAGTTACTAAATTGCCCATAGGTGTGCATGTGTGAGTGTGCCCTGCGATGGGCCGGCCCCCCGTCCTGGGTTGTTCCCCGCTTCATGCCCGTAGCTTCTGGGGTAGGCTCCAGACCCCCCGCGACCCCGAAGGATAAGCGGTTTGGAAAATGAATGAATAATTAGACCTGGTTAGCTGCATATTTATAAAATAAAAATCAGTAGTCCTACACAGTTTTCAGCACCCTTGCAAGTTAAAATGGCTTTGCACTGGTTACAAACTGCACAATGGTCATCTTTCCTACTAAAATGCAACCACACCTTGGACTGCTTCTTCCGCTCCATGATGTAGAATTCAAGTCGCGGCATGTGATGTCATCTTGTGGAAAAGTCCGGAAGAATCATTAGAGGAAAAAATAAGGTTTCACAATTCTGATGCATCTCAACAATTAAAACTGGTTTTAAACTGGAACTGAGTTTCAATTCCCACCCTAGTTTGCATGTTCTCCCCTTGATTGGACTCTGTTTCCTGACACAGTACGAAAACATGTAGTTGGATGAATTAGTGACTTTAATTTGTCATTGTGAGTGTTCATGTGTCCTGTGATTGACCGGCATCTCATCCAGCGTACTCCCCTGCTCTGTTTCCATGCTGCCTGGGATAGCTGCTGTATGGAAAGCAGCATGAAAAATCGATTGAAGGATGGATATATTAGTGTGCAAACTGCAAGACTGTCACAACGCTGATTGAATGTTCCGCTGACGTTCTCAAGCTACTAGAGGTTAAAAAACAGTAGTGTCCTGCAAACTCCGTTCAGTCTAGAAAAATGAAAAGGAGCTATGAAAGAAAGAACCAGGCGGTGTATACTGTCACACTGTCATCAGACTGAAAGGGGGTCCACGTGATAGGTACCAAAAGTCAATGCCAATGTCTGGAAGCAGAAGAAGCTTATGAGTAGTCCTATGACTACTCATTGTGAGAAAGGAGAAACACATTAACTGTCTTTGGCTCAGAGAATCACACCAAGTCTTCAGCAGCAACTGCGACGTTTAGACTGAGGCGAGGATGCTATTATAATAGGCAAAAATTTGTAATATTTAATGAATGACTTTTTATTAATATTATGTTTTTTTTTGCAGGGGCAATATAACTGACCGCTAGCTGAAACCAAAGGCTGACTTAAGTGAAGAGGTGAGTTTTGAAATGTTTGTAACTTTCTTAAGAAAATTGTAAATTCTGTAAAATACCCTTATACCAGATGTATCATGTGACCGGAAATTTGCCAGCTCTATTAGTATGTAATATTGTTGTATCCTGAGTGCCTGGCAGCTCAATATTGTGGTTTATGGTAATATAATGAACTCACAATAAAAGACATCAGTGTTATTTCTGGGGGTCCAGAGCGTCGCAGCCCAGCCAATACCCAGTCTCTTTGAGTCAGTCCCCTCTGGGAGCCGCCCCGCCCTCCTTTGACCCTGAGAAGTATTGGAAAAGCAGTGGTGCCAGAATGTATCGGCTGAGCATTGGTGCCATCAATCTGTTTCAGCTGTCCCGCCCCAACAATGCTGAGCCGTCAGATACAAAATCTCTGCCCTGCACTCCATTATCCTTCACGGCTAATGTTCACAGGCTTGTCCTCCAGCAGAAGTCTGTGTATTAAACATATTGATTATTTTTTTAATCTGTCTGGGATAACTTGGAAGCAGGATTTGCCTGGTCCTTCATGGAGAGGGTTCGCTTCGCTCCTTCCCAGTCGCCCTCTTCTGGAACACTGATACCCCGGGGGAGAAGATAGATGAAGCACAAAGTGTGGCCTGTCTTGTTCTGTATTCAGTCCCCCATTTTTTTTCTCCCTGGCTGAGGTGAAGCCGCAGACCTTTTCAGATGAGGGGCAGGAGGCCTTGAGCAGTTCTCTTCAATTTGTTCCTGCATTTAGGTCTCATTGAAAGGAAATGTGAGTTATCCCGTGCCTTTAGCAATATGGGGAAAGGTTTGGCTATGGAGGCAATGAGCCTTGCCTTCCCACATCCCGTGAAGACCGACCTGATGAAAGCTATGGAATTTCAATGCAGCTTCTGGCCCCCCTTCTCGTATTGTACATTATAGGATGTTGTTCATCGGAAGAATTTCCCCTATTAGTTATTAAGGAAAGGTTGTTGGGATCTTGGTATATGGTACCTGAACTGATAACATGCATTAAAGAAGGATGATGCCAGTCAAATGTATGCCCTCACAGGAGGAACAAACCAGAAACCTAACATCACCCTACCAAACTGTCAAAATACAAACACTGAATACAAAATTTTATATCTAAACTATGAATTGGTATTGTGTCCAGTGTATAGCCCCAGCCTTGTTCCCTGTTCCCTGCTGTGACGCTGACCAAAATAAGCGATAAGATGGATGATATCTACACTATACAAGTCAAAGTCTTAACTTTTTGTGTCAACTCCAAGAACAGCATTACAGGGAGATATGTTTTTGGATTAGAAACTTGCAGCCTGTGTATACATGTCAAGGGCTGATGAACAAGAAACAGGCAGACCGATGAATATTAGGGGCAGCCTGCTCTGTGTGAGCACGACCCAGCGCTCCAATACAACTAACCCAAATTATGGACGGGCGAGCCCCTTACTTGCAGATCATGAGACAAACTTCACATCAACAACACCTCATTCTCCCTCTCTGGGGGTGTGGGGGGGGCATATGGGGATTGGCAGAGCCCTGCTGAACCCTCCAAAACACCCCATGCTTTTGGCGGGAGGGCGGTGCATTCCCAACATTGTTAAAAGCTAGATTGAACCGGTTGGGGTCTCAAACTGTCATGTGCCGGTGACATCCCCGTCAATGCTAACACTCAGTGACACATAATTTGTTTCGGGATTCCCGCGGCCGACGGGAAAATTCCGCCACTTAATTCATCATTTGCTGAAGTCAATTTTCTTAATACGAGCAGCTCGTGTTATTAATACTGCCTCTTGAGGGATTCTCACTGTGTGGGAAAAACAAGGCAGGAGAACAGCAGCTGCAACAAATCAGCCTGACGCTGCCGATTTATTTATTTAATTGAAGTGCCATTTAGAAGGAGACCTTGTTTATCACACACTGAAGGGACTTTCAGCTGCTAGATAGCAGAACTGTTTGGTTAGCGCCTGCATATGTCCCTTCACAGGCCCGCAGGGCAGCCAATCGAAGCGGCAGTTTTAGCTAGAGAAGACCAGTCACCATGACGCATCTGCCAGATTACATAATAAACCTCCCAGTTCATTCTGGATCACATGACCTTTTCTGGCGTACATAGGGTGCTCATTAAGACCTGTTTCGACTTCCAGTTGCACTGTCCCTATACCCCTGAAAGCCTCCTCCTTTTGATCTGGGTATGAATCAGTTGCGATGAAAATATCCAGTGACATCGTGAATAATTACGTGTTCATTAGGCGCTTAATGAGCAATCATCGTGAGATCTTTTTTCAGGTGGTGGTGACGGCACTGCAGATTAAATTTCTGGACTAGGGAAATGCTAATGAGCCCCTATCAGTGAAGGCCTTGGTGACCATGGCACTAGCATGATGCGGGTGCAAGGGCTTTGTTACCAACCATTGATAATAAGTGTAACATGGCATCAGCAAATTATACTTTTCATTTCAGGAATTTAGTCCTGCCATTATGTTACAATTAAAGCAGGAAATTGTCCAATGAAAAGGTTCCTCTAACATTGATTATGCAAGGAATGAATCATACTGGAGAAAAGCAGCACCCAAGAGTAGACAAGATGTAAACCCCCTTGCCCAAGGCAAACAGCAGAGAGCTGTCAGTGGAAATGCAAAAGATTTTAACATGATTGCATGTTTGTTGCCCATGCATTTCTAGTGCGTGCAGGTTTGCACATATTCATGGAAGGCTATGATGTTACGTGGAATATGGTCACTTGTAAGGTTATTTCGTTGACCGAATGTTTAGTATAATCCTGTTCCATGGGATTAGAGTCATTTGATTGGTTGACTTTCTTGTTCATATTAAACAGGAGTATTGAACACTTGTAGCATGACGCTGACTTAGTTCAGATCCCAGGCTGGGCCGGGAGCCATTCCACACCAACAGAATGGCCTTCTGGGACCTCGGCCATCATTCTTGCATCTCAGTGGAAGAACATCACATTTTTTTAATTAGTGCTTCAACAGCAGTTACTCCAGGTGTCTGGGTTTGATGGATCTCAGAGTTACACAATACCCATAAAACATTTATATGTACAGTCCCACAATACTCATGAACAGTAATAAATCCATGAGGGACTCTGAGGCCCCCTCATAACAGCAATGTTCGATGCGGACAATCTCCATCATTAAGTCTACAACGAGGCCATGTTTACATAACCTACAATTAACAAATGCCAGCACTCAACTGCTGAGTCACAGTTTACAGAGCTCAATAGATATCTTTCACCCATACCTATTGCACCCAGGGCTGTAATTAACAGTCTTTGGGGGTATGCTTGTGTCCCTTTTGTCCTGGTTGAGCACTCTTTTTATGGGGTAGGTGAACTATTTAATGTTTTTAAAACTTCCCACCAGTTGCCTTAAGGGCTGAAGGAAGCTCTAACCTCTAAAGGTAATTAGAATTTGTCAGTGCTTGCTGGTGTTCTGTACCCTTTACCTCAGCGTGCTAGCTGCTCAGTGCATCAACAGTAGCATAGTGCTCATATACCGAGAGCTGGTGGCAAGGTGTGAACACCATGATTTCTCATCAGGTAGCGTAATTCTCCCTAACCTCATTAAAGAATCATTTGAAGTCCTCCTCAACAATGCCAAACTCTATTTTGCTTTTGAAAAGCCCATTGATTAAAATGTCAAAAATAATAAGTTCAAGATAAGACTCATCTGCTCCCAGATCAGATGCTCATTTCATCACCTTAACAGGTCTGATTGGCTTTCGTACGCCGATGTAATGAAGTGGCAAGCGGCTGATTAATATCAGGGGTCTGTTGGAGTGTATCAGTGAGATGATAACATGCATACGTTCTGCATCTGCGCCACATGGGTCAAGTCTGGGTATGGGTACAGCTGGGGGCAAGGGTGTTGGATGCGTATGGAAGTGCAGAGGCAGAATCTACGGAGAGGGTCCAGGATTTCTAGCTATGATCTGGGCTGTTGGATAAAAACGATCAGGAAAGGGAAGAAATCATGCCCTTCTGAACCCATATGGTCACATGATTCACCCTCCCGAGACAAATGGATGATTCCCCTCCCGTCCTCACACAGGTGTATATGTAAATGCACTTGCTGACTACTTAACCTGCTTAAGCATCTGTAATTAAGGCTAAACTGTGTATTTGGAAAATGAGGTTTAGTTTTGCCATCTGTGTATTTGGTCGCTGTTGGGGGCATTGCCTGATCGGTAAAATGCTCAAAGCTTCCTGAAAAATGAACTGCATCTAAGTAGTGTGAAAGAGCAACATCAAATTTAGCACATGATGTGTTAATTGTGATCATATTCATTAACCATTATTAATGGTTTTGGGGGTTGGAACCAAAGAACGTGGTGATCAAAAACAATTTCAGTACACTTTGATACTCAATATATCCATTAATTGTTCTACGAGAGGGTGGCAAGGCGTCTCAGAAGAAGCACTTCAGTCTTACATGACCAGGGTTGTGGATTCAGATCCCTCTGCTGCTTCTGTTTTCATGCTCTCCCTATATGTGTAGCTCCTCCTGCAGTCTGCAAACTTGTTATAAGGTAAATTGGTGCCACTAAAAAGCCCGTAGTGTGTGAGTATACCCCATGATGGACTGGCCTTCAGGTATTCAGGGTGGTCCCAAACCTTGTGCCCTGTGCTTCCTTGCATAGGCTCTAAGCACATGTTGATTATAGGAGATGGATGGATATATGTTAGATATGAAGACTGACATTGCTTGTAGTCATATCTTGCTGTTTCCTGACCCACCTTTGCATCTGCCACATTAATAACTTCTGGATCATCTGTGGGGGTCGTATCTACTTCCTAGTCCTGGACTCACCAGATGGCCAAAAAACTGCTTGTGTCAATGTGGGTGGCAGCAGCTAATTCCCACTAAAATCCAGGTGAACACTGCAAAGCATGTGGATAAGTACATTTGGAGATTAATTAATACCCTGGTTAACCACCCCTTTGTTGTCTGCACTGAATGAAATACACAGACAACTCTCCATGGATAATAATGAAAAGGACATGTACTACTAGCAGAAAGGTGAGGAATAGTCTTGATTGTTTTTCCAAGGATAATTCAAATTCAAATTCAAATTCAAAAAACTTTATTTGTCCCCGAGGGGCAATTTAAAAGGCATAGAGGAGCAACGCACACAAATAACAGTAGTAACATTAAACGCAACCGATGACACACAGACACACAATAAACTATGAACATAATAAATGACTAAAAGTACAGAGGCAATAGTATGCATGATGGAGAAAGTGGGGGGAAAAAAAAAAAAGTGAGAGACTCATGGTG